CTAGTCAGAACTTGGGTCTAGCGCGGGTATGGGATTTGTTTGTGGAAAGAGTAAAGAAAGAATTTCATGTCAAGGGTCCCAGACTCTCCAAGTACATTTCTACCAACAGGATGGGCTATATAGTTTGTGAAACTGTTAAAAATATGGAGCCCCTTGTTTAAAAACAATTAAAAATTTCAAGATGACAGCAACAGCATTAAAACACGCACAGGCCCTTCTGACCCTGGGGCCCTACACGATCAGGCAGGCTGCACAGGCCCGAGAAGCCAGTTGGCCTCGGCCCCAGTGCAGAGCCACCGCAGAACCTCCGCACTCAAGGCCCTGTGCCTAGAAGCCACTCCCCTAGACTTCTGAGCCCTTGCTCCCTCCCCTTCCCTGAGATGCGGCCTTCCCAAGGCAGGCCTTCCGGGAGAGCCATACTCAAAATTACGGCCCTTCACACACACATACACACTGTATCCCTTCTAGCTGCTTTATTTTTCTTCAGACCATTTAATATCTGATAATTATTTGTTGATTTTCTTGTCCCTAGAATGTAAGTTCTAGAAAGGCATAGATTTCCCCCTTACCTTGTTTGCTGCTCTATCCTCAGTGTGGAGAAGGGCGCCTGGGACTAAGGAGCTACTTAGTGAATATTTAGGAAGGAACAAATGAATGAATAAATGAATGACACCCAAACTGCTCCAAGAGCAGAAACCTCCACCAAAGAGATAACCTAAATGACAGGCTGTTCCAGGACATACAGGGTCTATTTCAAAATGTGCATAAGCAGAGACCCCTGCTCATTCATAACAGGAAAAAATAAACAACTGGCACTCACGGCGGAACTTTTTAGTTGGAAAAAGAGAGGAGGAAGAGAGCTCTGGGCTGGAGGAATCAGGAAAGAGTTAACATTGGAGAGAGAATTCAAGTTGAGCCTTAGAAGGAGAGCAAAGAAGGGAAGCTTCTCCAGGTACAGTTCAAGAGTTCACAGCAGAGTTTCATTTGTCTTCTCATTTCATACTAGAAAGTTTCCTTGTTTCTAATTGAAAAACAGAAGTTAAGCTGTCAAATTCATCTTGTTGACAACACAGATGTAGGCTCTGATGAATTAAATATTGGCATAGTGAGCAATAAATATTGGCCAGCAGCATTAAAACTTTTATGAGGCTGGAAAACCCACATCTTCACTTGAAGGATGCTCTGAATGTTCCCAGGCTGCCACCGACCATGGAGCTTCTTTGTAAGCTGCTGCTTCACTCAACCAACACAGCCGCACCCACTGCTCAAGTGCCACAGACAGAAGTGTAAGAGTAAGACAAGCCTGCCCTCCCGGATTCCCAATCCAAGAGGCAGGAAGCAGGGGTTTATCAGTGAAAACCCTTAGCAAAGAGGAAGTGAAATGAACTCTCCTATAATAGTAATAATAATAGCATCAGCTTAAATTTACTGGTTGCTTACTATACACCAGGCTTGGCGCTAAGAATATCCCATGTCTTTCTTATTCATTACCTCTCCAGAAGACAGGTTCCAGCATCATCCTCATTTGGCAAGTAAGGCAGAGTCTGTTAACTTGCCCACGGTCAAACAGCTAGTCAGCAGCAGAGGCTGAATTTGAACTTGGGTCTGCCTGACTCTAGAGCCCGGATTCATAACCAGGGCTATCCTGCCTCCATTAATGTAATCCTTTCAGCTAAAAGAAGCAAGACTGTAGGCTTCTGAGGTCAGTAAGTCTCTATTCTGCTTAATGCCGATTCCTCAGCACCCAGCTGATCAATACATGTATGTTGGATGAATAGAAAACACATTATGTTACCAGAGTTTAGTATTGCGTCAAACCCCCACTTAAAGTAGGCATCTCTTCCCCTGGCTGGTGTGGCTCATTGGGTTGGGCGCCACCTGTTCGTTTCCTAGTCAGGGCACATGCCTGGGTTGCGGGCCAGGCCCCAAGCAGGGCCTGTGAGAGGCAACTGATCTATATGTCTCTTACACACTAATGTTTCTCTCCCTCTCTTTTACCCTCCCCTCCCCCTCTAAAAATAAATTAAAAAAAATTTTTTTAAGTGGGCATCTCTTGTATCCACTGCCCAAAACCTATTCCCTCTTTTTTCAGGAAACCTCCTCATTCTCACTCTCAGTCAATAGGGTTTAGACAGGGCTGAGCCCAGCCTTCAGGAACGGGCTGTGGATACAAGCACAGTCAATATGAGTCAGTGATTAGCTCAAGGATGGACACAATCTGAACCAATGAGAACTAAAGTTCATGATTTGCTGCATAAAATAGAAAACAGATGCTCTTTCCCTGGGTTGCTAACCTGATAGAGTGTAAGACTGCAGTTGTATGATTCTACTTACAGTCCAAAGACAGGCAAAACAAGAACAAGGAGCGAGGAGTCAGGTGGCCGGTTGTGCGCCCAGTTGTGAAAGGCGCACGAGAGGCTTCCACCAAGCTGGTAATGCCGTTTTGCAATCTGGGTGCTGTTTACATGGACATGTACTCTTGAAAATTCACCAAGCTGTATATTTGTGATTCGTACATTTCAATACAGAGTTTGGTGGGGTTTTTTAAAAGAAATTTTAAAAACTGGAAAAACAAGACCAAGAGGATGGCCGTGTTTCACAAAAATGGTTGAGTATTTTTCTTTAGGGATATCAGAAAAACAAATTCTACACTACAATATTTAACATGATACAAAGCATAGACCTTATGAGCCCAATCATTACAGAAGCACGGCCGAAATCTGGAAAAGGTGCATAACAGAACACCTGATGAATTGGGGGAAGGGCCCAAGGAGCAACACCTGGCCTCCTCCACTGTCCTGCCTCCCAGCCTGACTTCTGTGGGCTTTGAGGCTTCCGACCAATGACTTACGAATCCAAGCCTTTTCTATAAAGGTTCCCATTATTTCTCAGACTTAAAATATCGGGTTTACTGCCCCTAGGGAAAAAAAAAAGAAATCAATTACCTTCCTAATGTTCATCCGTCAAAGGGGGTTAATAATGGCCACTGGAGAGGGTTGTTGGGAGAACTGAAGAAGGTAGTGATGTCCCTACACCTGCGAGGCAGTGCCAAGGAGACGGCATGTAAGCACACACAATGAATTACTACTTTATTTATAGCAGTGTTACCGATGATTGCGAAATACTAAAAATAAAAGCACAGGTGCCCCAAGGCAGGCCGCTGCCCACAGCAGTGCAGGGCCTCGCAGGGCCTCGCAGGGCCTCGCAGGGCCTCGCGCCGGACTCCGAGGGAGGCAGAGGCCACAGGCGCACGCCGCAGGCAGGCTTCCACTGCCTACCTGTGCAGTTTAGTGTCTGGGGCGCCCCAGCATCCTCTGGCAGGCAGGCCCCTCCCACTTGTAGAATACTTCCCTTAGGACTCCATGTGTTTGAATGAATGGTATGAATGCCTGCGCCTCACTAGTGTTAGGGCTGGAGAGCCTTGAGAGTCAGGACCCCTAATCAAAGGACGCTGTGCAACAGAAAACACCTCGGACTTGCCTGCTTGCTTCTACCAACCGGTGGGCCCCTCCTCCGGAGAACAAGGCAGCAGGTCTGGGGAGGGGCCAGAACCTATGTTTTAATAAAGCCTAAGGTGATTCTTAAGCCAAGTTAGGTTTGGGAAACTCCTACCGGGTGAAATGTGGAGCCGAACAGATCCGGATCCAAAGTTAGTCCCTAGAATTTATCAGCTGGGAAGGCTGGGGCCAATTACAGAAAACCTCTCCAAGTTGCCTTACTTTTATAAGACGAACAATGCCTACCTCCCAGGACTGTTGTGAAGCCTGAAGACACTGCCACGTTCAGTGGGGAGGCTTTCAGGCCCCGTATTTGCCTTTGTACTAACATAGAACTTCCCTGTTTATTTCTCCTCCCATGGGCTGGTCTTGCCTCAGCCTACAAAACTACTTCCACGGGAATAACTTCTGCATAGATCTGGCTTGGCCTGAGCACCATATCAGGTGCTAAGCCACCTCCCCAAGGCTCTGATTTTATTTTTACACCTGTCAGACTTCTTCAGGGACGACTCACTTTTTACAGAAGCAGGCGTGATGCCAGGATAAATTTTCATATGTATAAGAGTTGTGACATTAAATGAGGTTTATAACATACAGATACACAAGAAAAGGCTATACTTAACATTAGAGATAAAGCAGAGCACAGAACGGGACTCCTGGTAAAAACTCATAGCTATTAATATATTTAGACTATAACTACATAATATGTTAAGTATTAAGTCATCATTCATCCAAACACCTTACCAATAACAGAATTACTCCCAATTGAGAAGCGGTAGAACCCCAGGTTAAAATGAACCATTAAATCTGTTGTCTTGTTCTCTTAAGCATGGATACATTTCAGGTGAGTTTGATTGTCCTAACTCTGTGAAGGAGGCTTTTTTTGGGGGGGGCGGGGGGAGGGCGAGTTCAGGCAACATAAGGATTCTCATCTTCCTCCAGATTCGGATGACATCCATGCTAATGATAATGCCCAAGGATTCTACCTTTTTTCTGCTTTACTATTGAAGGAATACATGCAGTCAGGAAAGCTGAAATAGTACAAATAGTATATAGAGACAAGTTAAAATAAAATTCCTTCCTATCCATGTCCTGGGTCTTCCTCCCCAAAGGCAACCTTGTTAAAGGTTTAGGAACCCTTCCAGAGCAAGATTTCCCAGTCTTACACTTACTGACATTTGGGGCCAGATAATTTGCGTGGGGAGGCCTGTCCTGTGCGTTGTAGGATGTTCATGAGCATCCTTGGCCTCTTCCCGTAGCAACGACCCCCTCTCCCCGTTGTGGCGTCCAAAACTGTCTGCAAACGCTGCCGAATGGGGGACAAAGTCGCCCCAGGTGGGAACCACAGACTGTACTCCATGCAGTCAGAGAAGTGTGAGTTCCCTTACTCGCTTATCTCCACACACTGGTGACATAGAGTTACTTCCCAACTCACTGGGGGGTTGTACCGGGGGCGGGGGCGGGGGCTGGCCCGGGCCTCGGCTGGAGGCGACGGCCACTCACCAGGTCGCGGATGAGCTGGTCCACCAGCTGCTCCCCGCCCCCGGCGCCCTCGCGGGCTGGAGGGGAGCGGGAACGGCTGGCCGCGTCCTGCCTCTCGGCCCGGGTCGCCCGCGCCGCTGGGGGCCGCCCCGCGCCCTCCAGAAGGCCCTGGGCCAGCGCCAGGTACCCCGAGGCCTGCTCCCCGTGCCCAGGGGCCACCTCGGGCCGCGGGGGCCGCCACTCGGCAACCTCGGGCCGCCGCCGCTTCCTCTGCGCTTGGGCCTGCGCCAGCTCCTCCTGCCAGCGCCGGCGGAACTCGTCCAGGCTGTGGTCCTCCATGGCCCGTGCCCCCCGCCCGCCGCAGCCCTGCCGTTGCCACGGGACAGTCCCTCCGCGGGAAGTGTCCGCAGCGGCGGAAACCGGAGCCAGGCCGCACTCGGGTTCCGGGGCGGCGGCCCCGCCCCCGACGCGCCCCTCGCGCTGTCGCGGGCACCAGCAGCTGTCCGCGCCCCAGACTGAAAAGAAAGACGCGCACAGCGGCATTCCATCCCCAAATGCTCTGTAGCACCTGCTGCTGTCTTCTGAGGATTTTTCTCCCCACCTTGACCTGCTTAACTCTATGCACCGTTTATATCTCAGCTCATGCATTATTTAGTCTTCCAACCCCCGCCCACCCCTCCAAAAAATCAGGTCTCCTTTATTCATTCTTACAGCGTCCCGTCCTTACTATGGCACAGAATACAACTTGCAATTGTATATGTGTGTGATTGTTTATTAACATCTCCCTTTCCCCACTGGGCGGTCCGTTCTTAGCTTGGAGGTTAGCTTAGCTTAGTAGGCACTCAAATATTTACGGAATAAATTACCCCTTAAGATGGGAACCATTGTCCCCCACTTTGCAGATGAAGAAACTGAGCCAAAAATCACACAACTGGTAATTTGCACACCACCATTTCTAAGTTTGTTTTTTTTAACTCCAGGTCTGACTTTTTAATTATTAAATCATGCAGCCTACCTGGCTAGGCCAGCCAGAAACCATCTGGCTGCCTCTAGTTACCATGTTTTGTTTTTTCAATTCAGTGATATTAACAGCGTGATTATGAATCGTCTTTGCTGCAGAGTCAGAGAGACGTAGGTGAGCGCCTCAGCACTTCAGTTAGTCACATCCCCTTTTCCCCATCAATTCCGCTTCTAGGAATTTATCCCAAGAGAAGAAAATTGAGAAGAGTTCCAAGAATACCTTCACAAATGTTCACAGAAGCACTGTTTATAGTACTGAAAGTCAGAAGCAATCTAAAGAGGGCATTGGTTAAGTCAATTTTTCCCCCATTAGAATGTAAGAAAGAGCCACAAGAGCAGAGACCTGATTTATTGGGTTGGCCAAAAAATCCATTTAGTTTTTTCCGTAAAATAAAAGACATTTTTCATTTTCACCAATAACTTTATTGATTTGGATATTTTGAGTATGTTGGCTATCTCTTGCTATAGGCTTCTAGTGGGTAGAGGCCAGGGGTGCTGCTAAACATCTTCCAATGCCTAACACAGCCCCATGGCAAAGAATTATTTGGCCAAAATGTCAATAGTACTGAGAAACTTTGCAAACCACTTTTGACATGTTCAATCAGTCAAAGCACCTTCTCCATACACTGCACAAATCTTTTTTGCATTTCAGTTGTGCTTTTTACCTTTCTTCAAATATTATAGCATAACACGCTAAAAATGTTGCGTTTCTTCTTCCATCTTCAATAGTAAAATGGCTGCACAAAAACTCACCAAATGCACACTGATATGACAGCTGTCACGATACAATCTAAAAATTGTTTTGAATGAAGTTAAAGACAACTAAGCACTACTAGAGTCACTATATGGAAAAAACTAAAACTTTTTGGCCAACCCAATATTTATTCATTGCTATGTATTCAGCACTCAGAATGGAACCTGGGACATAGTAGATGCTCTATAAGTAATGAATAAATAAATGAAAACAGTGCCACTATTAAAAATTACATTGGAAAAAATCGAATGGAAAGATTTTCACCAATATAGCAAGCGAAAAAAGTAAGAGTACATAACCATAGATACAGCATGATCTTAGCAATGTCTTTTGAAAAAAAGTGCATGCATTTAAAAAGAATGTACATCCAAATCTTAACAGAACAGATCTCTGTAGAGGGCAGAATTAGGGGTCACCTATTGGTCTTTATGTTCTAACTTTCCACAGTGAATGTTGTCCCAGCCTGGTCCCCACGGAAAGCAGAGCCTGAGGCTGGGCTCGCGGGAAGCTTGTTATTGGTAGGAGCAATCCCAGAAAATAGGAGTTGGGGACCAAGGAAAGTAAAACGGGAAGGAGGGGCAGCGAATCCAAAAAGCATTCCTGAGCTGGTCCTGCGGTGGGCAATTTACACTCCATCCCACTGGCGCCTTCTAAGGAGCAGTGAAGAACACATCTCACGACTGCCCTCCCACGAGGTGAGAGCTGGAAGGAAGGAATATTTACCTGCTGGCTCATCCTCCATTAGAGAACGTTTCTGCTGGTCTTTCCTAATCTTCCACTTCCAGGCTGAGTGTAAGTAAATGCATTCCCATGGATGTTCCACACCAGCGAAGCAGAGATGCCTTGGGGCAAAAAGCAAGAGATACTCTGGGCAGCTACCAGGAGGGACTGTCTGGTTACCCTTGCACAGAGCCAGTTGCTACAGCAACAACTGAAGTAAAAGATGAGTCAAGAGGATATGCTCTGGGGTTTAAGAAATGGCTAATACAATTAAGTATTTTGTAATAAAAATAGACAATGAGCCATTTTCCCCAAACATTCATCTAACATCTCACTTCTTCTTGTATGAATTCCAGGGATCAAACTTGTTTTGATTATCCTCTTGTGGGTCAAAAGCCATATATAACTCTTGTGATATTTCTAAAATTTATGGAACATCTAATATTTAAAACAAAAAGCAAACTGGAAAACTTTTCAACACCTAACTATGATGGTCAAAAAAATCAATGTTTGCTTTTGCCTCTTTCAAAGACTTTTACAGGTAGGTACTGTGCAGGTAGGTTAATGGGGCCATTGGTCACCCAGGGAAGATAAAAAAGAGAAATATGCTAAGAAGGAAAATACTGGCCTTTTGTCAATATCGTCTGCTGTGCACTGACAATATTTCTGTTGATTTTGTGTCTCTCCAAGAGCAAATTCCTGGGCCTCCATTTCCACAAATGAAAAATAAAGGTAAAAAGACCTTCCCTTCGGAGCGACCATAGGCTGATAAAATACCTGTAACACTCCTAGCGTTCATTCGCAAGGTACACAGTAGGTATTTAATAAATGCTGGCTGTGATCCATATTAACATGGTCCTGGCAGGTAGAGATTACATCTAGCCTATGCTCTCAAAGGCTGGCGTTCTAGCCACCCACCTGTCTTTCATATCAAGCGGTTTCCTCAATATTAAATTGCAGGTTCAGTCCATTAAGATTCTTCAGTTGCAAGCAACAAGTCTTGCTACCTTAAGCAAAAAGGAACTGATTCTGGAGGATGGCTCACCAAGTTAAAAGAGAAAAGGAATAAACAGACCCTCAGAATGGCCAGAATCAGGGACTTTGTTATAGGCGGGCATGAACCATGTGCTTTGAACAACCTCACCACCTGCTTTCCATCCCTAGTGGACCAGGATCCCAGAGCAAGGGTCCTCAAAGGGTGGCCCCTGTACCGGCATCACCTGGGAACTTCTCAGAAATGCAAATCCTCAGCCCAGACCACTGAGTCAGAAACACTTTGCGGGGGAGGGGGAAGAGATCCAACAATCTGCCCAGGTGATTCTGATGCAGAGTCCAGTCTGAGAACCACTCCCCCAGCAGATCATCTGAACGGCCTGGTTGGGTCACAGTCCCAGCCCTTGACTGGGGGACAGGGGTTGCAATGGGCTGATTTCTGGGATGTCATGACGTGGCGGGGTCCGGGGGATAAAGTTCTCCAAAACAGAAGAAGGGGAATGGGATACTGAACCAAAGTAAACCACCTACAGCGCTATCATAGGAGGGGCATTCTGGGATCCCGTCTAAGTGTCTCCCACGCTACCTGTCTTCTCTGCCTTGTGTCAATAGGTTATGCATTCCCCTGGAACCCCAGCTCCAGAAGGAAGAAGTGATGGCTTTGGTCTGCAGGGTGGATGCCCCGGCCCTGAGACCCCAAGAACCAGTTTCCTCGGCCGCGCGCTTGAGAAGCCCCACAACAGCACACGTGTGAGCTTTCCCTGGAGCGGTCCCGGCCGTGGCTCCCACGCGGTGAAGACGTGGTTGCCAGCATGGCTTTGACCCTGAGTCCGATGAAATAAGAGCCCCAGCGTTTTTTAATTCCAGATCACCCCCTCCCCACTTGCGCTTGGCAACCCCAACCAAGCTTTTCCTCTCTCAGCTAATGACACCACTCCCCTGGTGCTTCGGCCAGGCCCCCGCTTCTCCAGCTCCCTTCTTCTCACCTCGGCAAGTCCGGACTGCTCTACCTTTGCCATACATCTTGAATCTGTTCGCCTCCCTCCCTCTCCCCAGCCACCTCCTCGTCCAAGTAGGGTTACCAGATAAACATGCAGATGCCCCGTTAAGTTGGCATTTCAGATAGACTTTTTTTTTTTTTTTTTTAGTATAAGTATGTCCACTGCAAAGTTTGAATTTCAGGGAAGCAAAGAATAACTTATAAATATGCCCTATGCAATATGTGGGATATACTTACTATATATGTAGTAAGTATATATAGTGTGTGTATATATACATATATACACACACACACTATATATATAGTATAGTATATATATAGTGAGTGTCCTTGCTTATCAGACATTCAAACTTAACTAGGTGTCCTGTACTTTTATTGGCTAAATTGGACAGCCTGAAGTTCAGGGCACTATCATTGCGCCTGGACCACTAGGGTTCCTTTCACTGGTCTCCCTGCTTCCACGCTGGCTTCTGGCAATGACTCTCAGAGAGCTTTTGAAAACGTGAATCAGACTAGCATACCCCTCTATTGAAAACACCTCAAGGTTCCACTACTGTTCTTGAAATAACAAACAAAATCATTTTATTGCATAAACTGCTTTATTCAGATATAATTCACATTCTGTACGATTCACCACGTAAAGAGGACAATTAATGGCTTTTAGAATATTCACAGATATGTGTGACCATCACCACATTTTAGAACATTTCACCAACACCCACAAAAAACTCCCTTTAGCCATCAACCCTCCCGTAGGCAACCCCAATTCTGCTTTCTGTCTCTGTAGATTTCTGTGTTTTGGACATTTCGTATAAATGGAATCATACAATATGAAGTCTTCTGTGACTAGCGCTTTTTTTTCCCACTTAGCATAATGTTTTCAAGTTCTATACATGTTG